ACTTTAACATTCAAAACAAAACAATTTATTGCACACTCATTGCATTTTTCTTCTGACCTTGTTAAGCTCACAGCAGCACCATTTGAAAAACTTGTTTTAAATGCTCACTTAGGCAGGTGATTCCATCAAAACAGAATGAGACAGTTAAAAAGTCTCTAAAACTTGGCCTAATTAATGTTATGAATAATTATTTCAAAAATGCAGTAAAAAATGAAATCTGGCACTCAAGCTTTAATTATTTGTAACACATTTTGTATTTTTTTAGCAACCACTGAAATTTACATGTTTTAGGATTAGTTTGAATTTCTATGATGTAAAGCAGACTTGACCACTTCATGGAAAGTAGTGCTATAAAAACGTTGAACATTATTATTATTATTATTCAAAAAGACAGAGGTCCCTGTGCTCTTTTTTGAACTATATGGATGGCCATTTTACAACTTTTTGACCCTCAAGGTTTTCCTGAGGAACCCTAATCAGGAAGTGGAACTATAATTTCTGAAAAATCTCATTTCTTGCATTAAAATATTGTAGCAGTACACCAAAATAGGCATCAATCTTACATTGTACATGTAAGCTCTTTTAACTGAACAGGAATTAAGATTCAAATGAATAATTATGTGAAAGATCAAATATTTGAACTGCAGAGAAAGATATGAGTACAATGTACATGATTGATCATTGCAGTTATACACACAACTTAAGAAGCTGTGAAATTAATGCCTGAAAAAAAAAAATTCAGTCTTCAACGGGATTCGAACTCATGATCTCTGCGATAGAGCATTGCTCCAGTATCGCAGAGGTCATGGGTTCCAATCCCGTTCAAACCTGAATTTTTTTCAGGCTTTAATTTCACAGCTGCTTGAGTTGTGTATACAATTGCGATTATCAATCATGTCTTCATAGGAATTAAGATATTATTGTGTAGTTCCAGAAAAATAACCGTACCCCACCACAGAGGGAATTTCACATAAGCCCCCACTCCTCCACAGAATTTCCATTTTTTGAACACAAAAATTCCCCCCCCCCCCCCACACCCCTCCGAAATTTCCACAAGTATTATGTACACTCCCCATACCCTCTGAAAAGATAGTTTTGGCAAGAAAGTTTGTTAAAGTTAAAGTTAAAGTCAAAGTAAACACTTCAAACATTTAGCCTCCTGGATTGCTGTTTTAATATTCTCGATTGACCATAAAATCTGAAGACACACACAAAGAAAACATACAGCAATTTATTTTAGCATGCTTGAAAAGAAAATAGATAAAATGTAACTTGTCAAATTACCTTCCTATATGACTAAGTCCCTTTGTAAATGTGGTACAATTTCTGTTGAAGGACTGATAAGATGTGTGTGGATGAAATTGACATCACGCTTTTATTGTGAACACGATCGCTAACACACTCATGACGAAAGTCAATTTTACAGCAAAATTACATGCAAATGCACAGAGATAACAAAGAATAAGAAATTCTCACATTTGTGAAATCGGAACAGTCAACATTTCTACCTTTATAAAGAAACTAATTTTTACGAAAGAAATTGACTGCCACTCAACAGCTGCAACTTTGAACAGCAATGCAAATACAAACTAGGCTAGTGCCAGTGCTTTTTGGCCCACAAGGTGACTCCATGTGGACTGGTAACAAGCAATGGCGGCCATTTCCATGCAACGGCACATTCTTAACATTGTTAGCTTCCAAAGTGCTTTTTGAAGAAAGAAAATGTATTTTACATGTCATGCAATTCATGATCAAATACAAGTATTCAAGCCACTATTTTTTCATGTGAAAGATCTACTTAGATCGATACTTGAATCTGTATTGAAGGACATCTGGAAACTAAATCAATTGTCCAACCCCCCTCCCCTCCAAAATTTCCTGAGTCTTTGACCCCCTCCCCTCCAGAATTTCCAATTCCCTACATGGTGGGGGTATAGACATTTTCTGGAACCACACATTAAGCATTGAATTAAAGAAATCTCTCCATGCATACGTAACCAGCATTTACTAAGGACATGTTCTGTAAAGCATTCAAATGAAAGTAATTATTTCAAACCAGAATTTTTAACTTTTCTTTCAATTGTAATATACAGTAGTCAGCTGTATGTCACTTAAATCTCTGCATTAAAAAGTGGTGATCACCGTGCACATTTGGGGGAAAACTAACACTTACTGTTGATATTAGCTTGATGGAAATCTCTCAAATGTTTTGTATGTGCACATGTTCAAAGGCCTATACTATATATATATATATATATATATATATGGCATCCTCGTCTCGGAGAGGCGATGGTCAGCGCGTCACTGTCGACAGGCTCTTAAGTGACTCAAAAGCCCGATTCTTGAGTGGCCTATACTAATGACATGAAAATTATGCACAGCAAGGATAGGTGATACAATTCAGCAGAATCACCTTACAAGATTACCTTTTATTGTTATTTAATCTATCTTTCACCGATTGTGGTTACCCGTATTTAATTCTTATGCATCAAAGAAATTCCTGTACTTAATATTTTGAGCCATTGCTAAGGAAAATTTATTGTCATTATAACATTGTCACATTTAGTCAGTTCAGAGTTATTTCATGTGTTTTAACTTATTCATGATCGATCAGTGACACCAGTGATGTCATGTGATTAATCCAAAAAAACACTCGGCTTATTACTTTATGGAATTTTTTTTCCTTTACTCAATAATTTATTTTGAATCCTCTTTTTGCTATGTAGAGATTATCGCTAAGTACTATGTAAGTCTGATTGATTGAGAGCGATTCCAAATGAAAATTTAGCAAAGAATTCAAAATGTCTGCCAAGCTATGTTTCCAACCTTGGTTTAAATATTAAAGCTCATCAAGAAAAAGCTGGAATTATTTTTTCTCTTTCCTTTTGCAGCTGTTTTTCTGTTTTTCTCATATAATTTTTGTGACTGGTTTTCACAACTTTTGAAAGTAGAAGTTGCATTGTGCTTAGTCCGAGTTGGAAGTGCCAAAGAGCCTTGCCACACTAGGGGGTCTGGGAGAAAATGTAATCGATTTGCAAGCTACTGAATTGTTTCAAATTTCCCATATACATGGGAAAATGGCTTCTCCGAAAGACTGACACAATTAACCAAAATGAAATTTGACTTCCTTGGCAACCCATGCATAAATCAGTTAATGGGCCCTCAATCATACTACAAGTGCTGGAAGCCGAATTGTTTTCAAAACTGTCTGTGTTAGCATGCAATTGCTTTTGCAAACATTAATTAACTGGAAACGTGAGTAAAATGACTCAAAAAAGCTTATTATATAAGCAGAGTTGCCATATGATATCACTACCAAAGCCTACCCCCAAGTCCTTGCCTTATTCTTTGCACAAGATAAGAAATTATTAAAACAGCTGGACAAAAAAGCTTTCACCAAATCCAGCAGGCAATTTATGATATCATACAACCTTCATGCTGCGACCCTCAAAAAGATGGTAATAGCACTATGCCACATGTATATATACACTGAAGTTAAAGCTGAAGCTAGCACAGTTTATACAAAATAATATTCTTCAATGTCTGTCAGTCAGTCCAATTAAACTCTTAAAGCCTATAACCAAGGGTTGACCAAGCAAAGGGAATGGCAACTACAGCATGTACCAGAATTGACTGATGCATTTCATCAGTGGATCATCCTTTCGAATAAGGAAGAGAATTTCAAGGATGGTAGGGAAGAGAAGAGAAGGTGTTAAATAATCATACTGTCAACTGAAGGTGGCTCTGAACCCCATGTGCAGATTTTTTTAAAAACTTTGCCAAAAGTTGCATCTCATCATGCTTATTAAACTTTTATGATATAAAATAAATTTCTCTGTGCCGTTTTTGAATTATAAGCCCCTAAAGCCATAACTAAGGGCATTTTTAGCAGGTCATACCATTGCTATGGTAACCTATTGTGTCATGAAAATGATAACAACTTGTTCACCATGATTGGGCAATTTTTTGATACCATGATAGTAGCATCAAGTGATAAAGAGTGGCTATAATGACCCATCAAAATCTAACTGTTGGAAACTGTTTGGAGGCACCTTAATACATTTTAGTATATTGTTTATCAATGGTAATATGGATTTCATCTATTTCAGGAGCAGGATACTATTTGCTGGAAAGATGTTTGTAGCAACAGATTTTTGGCAGCATTTTTTTAACATCATGAAAAAAAACAAACCTAAAAAATCACAACAATTAAAACCTGCAGAATATTTCAAGGTGGCTGGTGAATATTTGATTAAATTAATCAAGAATTGTTAATCAGTTTGCTTACCTGGATAACTGCTACACGCTGACTGTAGAAGCCATGAGTCACTTGGTTTTCTGTTAAAATCTCACCTGAAAAACAAGATTAATATCTGTGTTTAGTCGCCACCAAGACAACATTTCTTCAGCGTTTTCCTACTACATACAAACTTTGCATTTCAAGCAGTTTACACGTACTGATGCAAGAAAATTTAAAGGGAGTACGTCCCCAACACAGAGGCATATCTAGAAATGTCACTGCCATCTTACCACGCATGTAAAAGTAGGGAAGATTTTTTTGGTGGGATTTTCTAGCACCACAAACCATTGATAAAGATAATGACAAAGGAGTAGAGCTGTTTTTAATTTACCACTACACTATACATACAATGTAGAAGAAAATTTTGATTTCATCATCTCAAATAAAAGTTGTTTCTTGCTTATTTCCAATCTCTTTTCTCTTTTAAAGTTTTTATATTTAATTCCAATCTCGGTTACTATTAGATCACACTTAGCATGGCTCTAAATATTACATTATTGATGCATTTGGGAGTATGGAGAGCACTTGTAAACCTGCAATAGACCTTTTTAGTTTCTGATGCCATCTTGCCTGGGGGTCAAACACAGCAAAAACTGCTGTGAATGAACGGGAAAAGTTAAAATTTTGATGCCCAATAAATTGAGAGTGATCAACATTCTGAGTATTTTATGAGTTACAAAGAAAAGATATCCAGCAGAAGGTTTTTTTTTTAACTAAATTTGAAGACTATGGATTTACTGTCAGCCGAAGAACTCCACTTTTAATTTTCCATAACAAATGTCTCTAAATTTTCCCATGCATTTGCTACTCAGTTTTACAAACAAATGTACACTGCATGGAACAATGAAAAGCTTAATAATTGTGGCTTTTCTAGCTAGGCTATTTTCGTCAAAAGTGATCAGTAAATTCGTTTACACAGTATCTCTAGTTTTTAATTCATAACAAGAAAATCTAAGATCGTAAGTCGGGCTGTAGCTAGACGTGCTAAGTACTACGAGTGTTGATCGTTTGCAGTGCACAGCGGTTCTAAAAATAGCATGTGTGATATGTACCATGCTAATAGATGCATGTCTCAAAGAAATATCATGAAACTGAACTGAAATATATAATTATTTCATCACAAAAATATTACTTATTTTAACTGACCGATAGATGAAAGTGAAAGCTACGGTAATCATACTGAGGTTTTAATTTGAGTTGTGACATCACTTATGTATTAGGGGAGATTGGGGTCACTCTCACGTTTGGTATTTAATAATTACACTGTTCATGTACCGGTAAGACTTTGCTACTGAGTAACACACTGTATAAAGCCCTACAACTTACAACACATCATTGTTTACGAGAGCAGTTGCCTTCTCCTCTCACTGTTCACTGCAGTGCTTTCTGTTTTTTTTCTAATCTGCACTCATCTGAGTTCATAACTTTCAATGAGTGAGTGTTTATAACAGTCTGGAAATACTGTACTGAGCTCTCAATGGATGGTACTTCTAATATTGCACATGTACCTGAGGGATGGCTTCTACCATATTCGTTTCTTGCATGAGAAAATTATCTTATAACTTCCATTATCAGTATGATATATATTGAAACCAATACATTCTTTTGTCAGAATAAATGAAGAATAATTTTGTGACAAGAGTGATTCAAAGACCTGTCTTTACACATACTGTACTGATATCCCTCAATTATCGAATCACAATGATGTCGATTACCAGTGCAGCTTTCACTATAATTAAGCTGGTAAATCATTTTTCTCAGACATAGCAATCTCCAATCATTGACAATAATTTGGTTTGCATTGAAAAGACTCTACTACTCAACAACTTTCGAATCAGTGTTGACTGTGTGGAATGCCATTCCTTTCTCATCTTTTGTACAAACTTGATACTGTCATTAACGCTTCTAATTCATGCGATCAAAACTAAAAATCGTAACCAATCAATAAATAAAGTCAAGAATCTGGGATATATGATAGATGACTGACGTATAAACAACCTCGCCAAGAACTAGGTTTCTGCAGTTTTTCATCGTGGAAAGAAGGTTGAGCCTTTATAACGTGTCTGCGGTATTCTCCATTGCACGTGACTGAGCTTTGACAGGAAATAAGAGGGTAAATTTTTAGTTGGTTGTCCGACTAAAATAATACTTCAGAACTTAAATTTCCCATGAGTTGTTACACTTTAGATTCTCTATTTTCCCCATATACGTTTACAGTAAATGTTTGCTGTCTTTGCCCCCAAGCAAGATGGCATCAGAAACTGTGAAAAAGTCTATTGCTCTTGGTATGACTTAAATAACTCTTAGACTTTCCTAGATCTTGTGCTCTCCAAACTTCAACATGCATCCATAACTCAATTAAGTCACTCTAACCAATAAACCAATAATTTGTCCAAATATAAGTCCATGCATGAACCCACTGTGCGCTCCCAAAAAAACATCTATACCAAGCCTATAGAAGGTCATTGGAAATGCTGAGGATAAGCTTCTAAGCATGAAACAAATCTATGATATAAACTTAAACTTAAACTTACTCCACACATTTGACATTTGTACACATAATATAATTAACAAACTTCTGTCAAAAAGAAAGAGCCTTCTTTTAGATTTTCCTTTGCTGATTTATCTGAAAACTAAGAATCCATCTCAAATGAGGATATTCATAGGGCCATTTCATTTCTTATCCACACCACCACCCCCACACCCCACCCCCATTGAGAGGCTAGGAAATCTGAGGGGGAGGGGGGTCTTTCAAGGCAGTTTCCGAGGGGGCACTTTGATCTTCTTTTCTTGGGGGGTAAAATTCAAAGCACCTCATTAGGAAGGGGGGGGGGGTGGTTGCGGATTAAATGGAATGGCGCATACAACTATTGCGCTACATGTTTCTCAGTTTGTGTGCCTCTTAAAAGCAGAATTAACTCTGATGGACACACATGCAAGGTTTATGTCCTATCTTATTACCTAGTCAAGTATTTATCCAATCAAACTGTAAGGTAATCACACCGCAAAACAAGCTAATTACCTTCGTCCAGGGACGGTCCTCATAAGTTGTCAACAAACACGTCTCTACATTCCATCTCCTGGTTCCGAGAAGCAAAAAAGTGGAGAAAGTTAGCTTATGACCCAGATTAAGTAATATCACTGGTTCAAGCCGTTTTGAAACAAAGAACAAACCTCTGAAACTACGATAACTACGATACATTTTCCACTATTTTGTTTCCACACGTGACAAAATCAAAATGGCGGACACGAACTACACTCGCAAAGATCACTGGGAAATAGCCGGAAGGTGAGGGCATAGGTGGTGGGGAGGGGAGGGATATCTTGAGTTCTGACAGGAGCTATAGTCCCCGATTATGGTTCATGGTTCTGACAATCGTCTCTACATTACACTTTGAGGATAAAACAGCACAAAAACAAATTTTTACGAATTTTACTTCGGCTACCAATTCTATTTGGTTACTCCGCAAAACAAAAAGAAACTTCAACAAAAGACGTTTACAACTCATCTTCATCTGTGTTCTCTGTTCTTCATGCTGGTCATTATCAACCAAGCATAAGCAAAATTCTAAATAAAATCAGGAGCCCATCCACCGTGCAAGCAGAGCCTCTTTTATCGCTTGTTTTGAGCAGATATGTACCGCAAGGCTCTGCTTGCAGAGTGGAACCTATCACTCCTGATAAAATACAAATTCCTGTCCTAAAACTGGCTAACCTGGGAGCTGGCGTTCTGCCGTTAAAGAAAGAACACCCGATCTCAGGTTTTAAAGTGCCTAATACTCTCGGCATGGCGGTAGCCTGCAGAAGAGGCGGATTAGCGGGACAGTGAGCGTGACGCGATACACGAGCGCGAGACGAAAAAAATCGCGTTCGTGTATTGCGTTTCGCTCTAGCGTTTTGCTCTCTGCCCCGCTAATCCCCCTGTTCTACAGGCTAGCCTGGCGGAGCGGATGTTAGAGGCTGACTGTTGGACATTTTTTTAAAGGAATCCCAGGGTCCACAATAGGGTTCTCAGATCCCGCTTTCCCGCTCATTTTTTCCTGTTAATTCCGCCATCCCGCCCTTTTTAGCCTGGAAATCCCGATCCCGTCCACTTTTCAACGACATTTCCGCGTTAATTATTTAAAATTTGTTAAATTGTTAAATTAATAATTAACGCAGAAATCTTTTTAAAAATAGATATCGCATAGAAGATCACAAAAGGATTCAAAGGGTAGCAGATAAGTAAGCACAAATGATTGGAACGTTACTTTCCGTAAACGGTCAGTTCTGTTTTGTTTTCTTCTGCCCACGTATCAGTGAAACTGAGAAAAAGATTGTTCATTTCCATGAGATGGCCCGTAAACACACCTGACAGTTTCCTTCAAAGCTTTCAGCGTCTTCATTTTCTTTGAAATGTGGGCTAAGAATTTTTCTTTTCGAATGAAGGCATTCCTGCTCGCACATCCTTTTCGTAAATATACATACATACATTACTTTATTTACCCTCGGATTTCAGAGTAGCTTATGCAGCTAATATCTCCGCACATTTAACCATCAGGTGAGAGAGAGACCACAACACCGGGAACTACATCCCCTACTCTTTTCGATCAGTGTGTGGGTTCATTTACATCCCATAGAATTAATGGTGAATAAGGTGTGAATATGGCGACGCAATTTATAATGTCGCATAATTCGTTCGGTAAATCGTTATCACCGCCATCCGGTGTGGACCATCCTCGCCAAAACAAGCCAAGCGCCCGGTCAAGCGCTCTGAAAAAGGTCGAAAGACTAAGAAAAACTAGAAAGGATCGGTGGCAGAGGGGTGGTCAAGATTACAGGCGCAAGCGTCTAAAATGTCGGAAATGGATAGCCTGAGTAGCTTAACGGTTTTTAAGCAATTTTTGAGTGCGCTAAGAAAGCGGCGAAGCCACGATAACGAGGGCCAAAGCCGCGAGGAGCCAATGGACAGATGTCATTAATATCAGAGGCCAACGCAAATGATCGAAATAGGACTCAAAGACCTCATACAGTCTCATGATACTAACGTAATCAAGCGATAATGGATACGTTTGAC